TATTTTAAAATGAGAAGTTCTAAACTTTGGAACAGTTTTTCACAGAAAAATAAAGATGGTAGAGAGAGTTCCCATGTACCCTTAGTTTTCCCCGTTACTAACATCTTACATTAAATGATTGCTTTACACTTGTTATAGTGAACCAATATTGATTAGCAGAACATTATTAATAATTAAAATCCATACTGATTTCCTTAGTTTTGATGCAGTGCCCTTTCTTGCTCTTCTAGGATCCCATCCAGAATACTACATTACATTTACTTGTCTCCTTAGGCCCTTCTTGGCTGTGTCAGTTTCTCAGACTTGATTTTTTAAAATAGATATTATGAGGTATAATGTGCACAAAATAAAATACACCATTTTAAGGTACAGTCTGATGCATTTTGATAAACGTATCCCATGTACCCACCACCACGATCCAGGTACAGAACATTTCCTTCAGTCCCCAAATTCCTTTGTGATACCTGCACCCACCCTAAATCCGCAGGCAACACTGATATTTTGTCCCTTTAGATTAAGCTTGCGTGTTCTAGAATTTCATTTCGTGGTATTTACCATTTGATTTCTTTCAGTGTACTGTTTTTGTGATTCCTATGTGCTGTCGTGTATCGCCGAATGTGTTGAGTAGTGTTCAATTATACTAATATGTTACAGACTTTTTTCCCCATTGCATGACACTTACCTAAATGTTGCCTCTCAACTCCCAGTCTACCCTTCGTCTCGCTCTATGGTAGCACCGCCCCTTTAGTTTCTTCTTTCTGTGGGAACAGCGCTGACTTCTGCCGGTAGATGACGCTAGAGGGCCATTGCACGCGGACAGAACTTTTCCCGGTTCCATTGTGTGCTTATTTTAGTTTTCTTTTTCCTACTGTCCTGCAGCCAGAGACACACGCGTGGGGACGTGCATTAAGCAGCCTGACCCAGATGTGCGCCCTCATCACATTATGCGTCTGAGCGCCCAGCCCTAGCTCGGGCCTAAGTTGGTACAGCCCTCCCAGTGAGGACTGGGTTCACTTAAGGCCTTGCGCTGTCCCGATGGAGGGGAGGCCCTGAGGCCCTCCCACTGTGTGTAACCGCCGGCTTCTCCAGACCAGTTTCCTACAGGGTTGCTTTCAGGGGCCCTTCAGACATGGATGCCATGCCTCCCAGGCCTTGCACCATTCTGCCTCCAAGTAGCTTCCTGACTCTTGGGCTGTTCTGTGTACCGCCTGCCAGCCTGCGCCCGTCTGTACCCGCGGTGTGTTTTCCACTCACCTGGAGACCCTGGACCAGTTCTAGCCCAGGCAACCCAGCATGCTTTTTCCCATCACATGGAAGAGGTTTCTAACAAGGCCTGAATCCGGCTTTGAGGAGAGGGTGGGTCCCTTCCGGTTGTTCCTTCTTTGGGAATTCCCTCGGCTTTAGGGTAGTCTTTGGAGTTCTCACACCTTCATAGCTACTACTGTGCTAATCATTTTATACGTTAAAAATTCCTTGCTAAAGTAACTGTGGTTTAAACGTTCAGATGCAACCCTCACAGACACATTAGATTTTTGTATTGTTTCTAATTTGGGGCTAAAATGAAGGAAGCTGCTGAGAACCGTACTGTCTTTGTGTGGACATGTCGTCTTTCCTGATAAGTAACCAGGAGTGGAATTGCTGAGTCTTGTCGTGTGTGTTTACTTTTACGAGAAATTGTCCACCTGTTTTGCAAAATAGTCGGACCATTTCATATCTCTATTGAAAATGCTATTCCATGTGCCATCAGTGCTTGATCGTTACTCACTATACTGGGGTAGTCTAGTGGGTATGCACTGTAGTTCTTGATGACTAGGATATTGATAAGAAGATACTGTAATAGTGATGATACTGTAGTTCTTGATGACAGATAGTGACAAGAATCTTCTCACATGCTTATTGATAATTTGTATATTTGCTTTGTAACACTTCCAAATCTTTTGCACATTTTTTACTTCATTTGCCTTATTGCACTGTCATCTTCTTAGGAGTCTTAATGGTGCCTTTCAAAAAGAGAAGTTTTAATTTTTACGAAAGGGTTAGTGGCTTTTATATCCTAAAATATTATTGTCTGTCTTAAAGTTGTGAAGATTTTGTCTTAAAGTTGTGATCAATTTGGAGTTTTCTTTTCTTTTTTTTTTCTTTCAGTACTGAGGCTTGAACCAGGGCCTTTGAACTGAGTTACACCCTCGCCTTTTTATGTTTTATTTTGAAAGACTCAATTCCCTATGATGAGTGTTACCATGGTGTATATCTAAAATGTACCAATAAATGTTTTGCTTAAAAAAACATAAAATAAAGGGCGGGGGATTTAGCACAACGGCACCACACCTGCCTCACACGCACAAAGTCCTGAGTTCGATCCCCGTACCAAAATAATAAGTGATAATAATAGAGAGCCTAAATTGCCAAGCCAAGCTAAAACTTGTGATCCTCCTGCCTCTGCCTCCCTGAGCCCTAGTTTGAGTTAATTCTCCTACATAGTGTGAAGTAAATATCAATGTTCATATTTTTCCCATTCAAATACAAGTATCTTCAGGGAATTGGTTCCAGGAATCCCTGTGGATACCAAAATCTGCAGCTGCTGAAGTCTCTTATATAAAGTTGTATAGTATTTATTTGTGTATAACAAACACACCCTAAATCAGCTCTGGATTACTTATAATACTTAATACAATGGAAATGTTAAATAGTTGTTATAACTATTATTTAGAGAATGACAAGGGGGAAAAGTCTGTACATGTTTAATGCAGGTGTAAATATTTTTTAAAAAATATTTTCAACCCATGGTTGGTTAAATCTGGATGCAGAACATGCAGGTTTAGAGGACCAACTGTACACAGCTGGCAGCACCATTTGTTGAAAAAAAAACCATGGAATGATTTTGGTGTCTGTCAGAATTCAATTGATCACATGTACATCTATTTTTGTAGTGTGCTCTATTCTAGTACCACATTTGCTTTATAGTAAATCTTGTAACCAGGTAACCTATGTTTTCCAACTTCATTCTTATTTTTCAAAATTGCTTTAATTGCCCAAGGTTCTTTGTATTTCCAAGTAACCTTTAGTATCAGTATGTCAATCTCTACAAAACTCCTAGTGGAATTTTTGTTAAAAGTACACTGAATCTAGAAATCAATGTGGGAGGATTAGATTAGTAATGGACCCATTATTTCAAATAATCTAGGATAATCTCCCTATCTTGAAGCCCTTAATTTAATCGTATCTGCAAAATCCTTTATGCCATGTAAATTAACATACTCACAGGTTTGGGGATTCAAAAGTGGACATCTTTGGGGGGCTGGTATTCTACCTACTGCACCACCAGCATCACAAATCATACTTTAATAAATGTCCCCAGACATGTGCCTTCAATGGGTCTACATACAAATTTAGTCTCTAGGGTGTGCATATAATTGGACCAGGTAGTGGTCCAAGATAAATGGACCAGGGTACATTCTCAACAGTACAATCTGAGGTTTCTGTACCGTCATGCCCCACCATTATTTGGCATTGTCCAGATTTCTTATTTTTGCTAGTCCATTACAGGTATGTCTCATTATTGCTCTAATTTGCATGTTAATAATAAAATACTCTTCTTTGCCCTTAGGTCACAAAAGTATTTCCCTTATGTTCTTTTTATTAGCTTTATACTTTACAGTTGACTCTATTAACTCATGTATTGCTCATCTTTGTTCATGTTTTAAGTAGAGTGATCCAGTTTCATATATATATTTTTTTGTTTTGTTTTGTTTTTGTTTTTGTTTTTTGAGAGGGTCTCACTATGTAGTCCAAGTTGTCCTTGAACTCACTGTGTAGCTCACACTGGCCTCAAACTCACAGCAATCCTGCATCAGCCTCCCATCTGCTGGAATTACAAACATGTACCACCACACCTGGCTCTAATATATATTTTAAACAATCTCCCACTGTTTTTTAAATGCTTTGTCCTCTAATATTTTCTCAGATATGTATGTGTTGATATCTGGACAATATCGTCTTTAAAAAGTCAATCAAGGAATCCATGGACTTAAGATTACTTTATGTAAACTATAGCAAAGTTAGTTCTTAAAATGCCAACTGAAATTTTAATTAAGATTACACTGACTTTATAGATTTGGGAAGAATTACTATCGTTCCATTAAAACTCTCATCTAAGAATAGGAATGTCAATTGCTTCTCGGCCTTTTGGCTAAGATCAAGAGTAAGAATAGGAATTCCATTTATTTAGATCACCAACTCTCTTTAGGATTTCAAAGTTTCCTTCGGGAGGTCTTATTAGACTTAAATAATCTGTAGATATTGGATTTTTATTGCTATTGTTGGTATCTTATGTTTATTATTTATTGGTTTTAGCTGTTGTACAAAAATGAGATTTATATCCAACAATCTTGCTAAATGCTCTTATTAGTTTTAATAATTGGTACTTTTTTAAAAAATAGGCTATCAAATTATCTGTGAGTTTTATCTCTTATCTTTCAATCTTTGTATCTTTTTTCTTTTTCATACTACTGTACAGGATTTCCAAAACTATGTAAAATGGTAGCAGTGATTGTGGGCCTCCTTGTACTAATCTTAAAGAGAACATGTTTTGCCATAATACTTGCTGTAGGTTTTGGGTTATAGGACCTTTATCAAATTAAGAAATTTACATTTTGTTTGCTAAGTTTTTATCATGAGGCAAGGAGGGTAAGGGGTGCTCCAAAGGTCAACGATTGTTGTAGTTTACAGCACTAGAGATCAAATGCTGATGTGTACTGCTAATCTTAGATGAGCCACACGCCTGAGCAGAGGCTTCACCTCATCCCACCTTTCCCTCTACTTGGCCACCCCTTGCAGAGTCTATGCGACTGGAAGGCTCTGGGCCAGTAAGCAGGGGCCCTGGGGGCAGAGCTAGGAAGCTTCTTGGACCAGCCTGGTTTTACAGCACTAGAACTCTGCTTCGAGACCTGTTTTCTCTGTCCTACAATTAAGAACTGTCTTCAGAAAGCAACACAGAGGACCAATTTCAAATGGACTTTAATCTTTTTTTTTTGCTGCCCAAATACTGTACATGCAGAAGCCATGTGAAGAATATTCTCCTAAGGGAATTGGCAAGAACAGTGTAGAAAACAGCTGGCAGTCCCTCCCAGCTGTCCACCTGACACCCAGGAACCAGAGTTTGGAAAGATGCTTCACAGAGAAAATGCAGAGAGCACAGGTAAAAAAGGCTAATTGCTTCTTATCTAAACAGTGTGCTTGTCAGTCCCTAACTGCTATCTCTCTTTTTGCAAGATGCATTTGGAAATTTAAAATGGTGGGGGGGGTGTTCCTGCCTTCTGTGAGTTTACATACTAAAGGAGTTGACAGAACTCTCAGGCCTGCCTTCTCTAAGGAAGCAGCCACTGCTTTCTGAGATGATGTCTGGTAAAAGACACTTTGGAGGGAGGAGTGGTTTTAAAAAGCAAAATACTTGGAAGGGAAATCAATTCCCTCTCTCCTCCCACTGAGAGCATTTCCTTTAAAATTCCCAGATCTTCAACTCTTCCCATTGCTGTCATGGAGAAGTGGAAATGAGGAACAACCCAGCCTCATCTCCTGGTGGGGACACAGGCCCTACTCAGGATGCAGATGAGGTTGTGACATCACATCAGCACCTTGAAAATTGTCCTTTGTAGACAACCTTGAATTATTTCTCATCATGATGCAAGAGTAAAAGAGGGAGAGAAAAACAATGAAGAGGTGAAAGCAGGGTCTGTGAAGATTCCCAGAGCTGTTAGAGGCAGCATCTGGACGTGGGTCAGATGAAGACCTATGCCTCGCTTGGACACCAGGGGCTGGATGAAACCAGCCTGTGGAACCACGTGCCAGGCACACCCAGCTCACAACTCTCAGCAGCTCCAGATCAGACTTGGAAAACCTGGAGGCAAGCATGGAGCAACTAGCTAATGCTCTGATTTTACAGATGAGGAAGCTGAGGCCCAGGAAAGTGAGGAGTCTTGTACACGATCACAGTTTCTGGCAAAATGGTATAGACCAGCCATCCTGTCCAGGTCATTGGCTAAGGGGGCAGATGCTCAGTTGCCCCTGGAATTCCCAGGCCCCTTTTCTATTATCCAAGTGCTCTGGAATCCAGTCGATGGCAATTTTCCCAGCATCAGGGTGAACTCCCTGGGAGGTCCAAGGCCCTATCCTTACCGGCCAGGTTTCCAGCCACATCCCTGAAAGGTCTCTCCAAAGCATTAGCACTCACGCTTCTAAGAGCACCTTCCCAAGCCAGTCTATGCCCCTGGGAGAGAATGCAGGTTTCTTTCACTCATGTGACTTCCTAAACAGGCACCGCCGTGCTGGGCCTGCAGAAGCCCAAGCTTGGGTTGGGGGTAGGGGAAGTTGCTTTGCTACATGGAAAGATTAAGCCCTTTGTCAGAGAACAAGGTCCCACCTTTGGGCTTCCCAACATCTGAGCTGCATTTGTGCAGCTCCACCAGCAGAGTTGGTGCCCAAGGAGGCCAAGTTGCTCTCTTTGGCATCACTGACATTGCTCTGAGATGCTCAGGCACTCTTTCAAAATAACCCTTTCCGAGCCAGACCAGGCCAACCCCACCACTGTCAGGCTCTTCTGATTGGATGGGGCTCCCCTGCTCTTCCAACGTGATTGTTTGCTTTGTCCCAGTCTCCTCTGCTGTGGATGAGAAGCAGTACGGAGGAAGAAGGCAGGGCTAAGTCCACATTTTTATCTCTTCCCTGATCATCCAGTGGAAGAGTCCAGTAGAGGGAGCAGCATTTAAAGAACCTCTGTGTATGTCGGGACATTGGAGAAGACAACTGTGAGGAGAAAGGTAGGAGGCGGCAGGGAAGCAGGCCTCTTTTCCACCTCCTGGCAGCCACCGCAGAAATACTGCCAGACAACCTTCTGGCCCTGGACAAAATGCCACCTTCCCCCATGCAGGTGGAGAGCAACTCATCTACAATATCAGGCAAAGGCAGCAGTTTCTTGCCCAGAGTTTGCACAGTGCTGGAAGCAATCAGAGAAACACAGAAGAGCAGCCTTACTAAGGTTGTGCTGCTTTCTGGGCCAAGGGTGTTGGGGAATGTGAGGTATCAGGAGCTCTAGAGCCCCAGGGGAAGAGAAGCTCGGCACCCTCTGGGCAGCAGGGCCTGGGGCAGAGCCCTAGGATGCATATCAGAGCTCCTATAATGCAGTCTAGGCTTGTGCTACATTTCATTTCCAAAGAAGTGCCCTTGAAGCTCTATTGTCTTTAAAAATAGAGGCTTTTGCTCTCCTCGAGGCTGGCAGTAAAGGAGAAGCCCCCTTGCATTTCCCTGGTGGAAGTCAAGCCTCTGGGAGAGCTGGCTTGACCTCTGTTCCGGCTGGCAGTGGTTCCAAGAGTGAGCAGCAATCCAGGGCCGGCCCTCTGGTGCTTTCCTCTATTCTATCTCAGCCCCATGAAATGCTGGCATTGCAGGGGACCTGTAGGATCCCAAGAGCCTCTCAAGTGCTCCTTTCCTAGTAGAACGGGGTGGTGGAGAGACTGGATGGGGGGTACTTTCAAAGATGGTTCAAATCCCTCTTGTCAAACCAAGAGTTGACCCATTTTCCGGAGCCTGCTGCATACGAAGGGCTCATCGCAGACTTCCCTGTAGGGAAGGAGACTATGAAGAAAGTAGGACAGACTGAGCCAGGCAGAAGTGTGAAGACAGATGCTGTGAGTCATCCATCACTGAGCCTGCCCACGGTCCAGGATCACTGTAGGGCCACTTCTGTCTCTGCACATCACCCATGCATCCTCCTTGCGCAGAGCAGATGGCACGACAAAGAGCTCTGTGCCGCTACCACTGCTAGCTTTCATCTGGGGTAAGGGGCGTCTGACTTAGCCCATGGTAGGGAGACTCAGAAGGTTCCTTCCCGCCACCTCTTCCCAGCCCAGGGGAGGCCAGAGTTAACTTGTGCACCCCCTTCTTCTGAAACAGGTCAGCTCCAGAGTGGCTGCTCAGCAAGCCTTGCACCCAGGATGCTGAGAAACAGACCCTTAAATCCAGCCACACACTATCATACACACAGGGCAGCCTCACACAACCTCACCCTCGGAGGGAGGGGAATCTACACTAGTAACTTATTTGGTACAAAGGGTTAAAAAGAATAATTCCCCAAGGCCATTTTACAGGGAATTACCTGCCATTAAGAGGTGGAACAGGTGCCACCGCCTGCCTCACAAGCGTAAGGTCCCGAGTTTGATCCCCGGTACCAAAAACAAAGTGTGGGGGTGGAACAACCAAGTGGCCCCACTGCCAGGCAGTTTCTGCAGCTGGGGACTGGAGGCAGGTCAGCCCGAGTTTCCAGCACATCAGGCCCCGCCCCTGACTAGAACTTTCCCTGTGCTGTCCCCAGGCATGATAGCCCAGGGCTGCACAGGGCAACCTTCCTGCTAGCAGCTACCACCTTCGCCCAGGGCCTCCCTGGACCCTTAGGGGCATGTGGATGCTGACCCCATTTCCTGAGGGTGACTCGGGGCCACATGAGCAGATCTCTGCTATCTGTGGATCACTGACACTCCCCCCACTCCAGAAGGTATATTTTCAGTCCATCCAGAAAGCAACTGCCATAGAGGTAAACACACCACAAAACAGGAGAGAAAAACACCTTCTGCAAGTGAGTCTCCTCCCTGTACTGTATTTCCCCCACTAGAGTTAAAGAGTTTAGAGCCCTCTGCCCCATTTTTAGAACTATGGGAAACATACATTTCCCAGCAGGAGTGGGAAGAACTCTTTTGCCCAAAGAGGAAACTGGCTGGCCGCCTCCTCAGCCTCCTCCACGCGTGCATACAGTAGCTCTCATCTCTGAAAATGCAAGAGTGCGGGCTCAGCCTGGATACAGGGACTGCTGTACCTTTCCCTCCTGCCTTTACCCGCTTTTGTCAGGGAAAGGACCAACAGGTCCTGGCTTCTCCCCTCATTCCCTTGCGAGAGAGGTCACAGGACTCTGGCTTCCCCCCCAGGGAGGGTCTTTGTCAGACAAGGAAGCCCTTTGCACTGAGATGGCCTTTCCTCCTCCAGCTTCAGTATGAGTAAAATCTCAGCACTCAGGCCTGAAGCCCCTCCACTGTGACCTCAGTAGCTCTCTGGCCCAAGGGCATGGGCAAGATGTACACCAGCACTTGGGGACAGTGTCTGGGGAAGAGGCAGGAAGCCTTTCCCCTACCCTGGCCCTGCGAGCTACCTACTTCCTCTCTACCAGCCGTGAGCCCAGGGCCACTGTGTCCATCTCCTGGGCAGCCTCTCACCCTTCACCCTAGAGCTGAGGAGGGAGGAGGACAGATGTGGCATTCCTAAGCCAGACTTCAGGACTCCCAGCAGACACCTCCCAGGGTCCAGTCCAGGTGTTAGTTCTCACAGCAGGGCCTAGCAATCAACTCAGGGTCCACGTGGCTGGGAGAAGCCTGAGACAAGGGTAGGAAATAAGCAGAGGCAGTTGGAGTGCCCAGAGCAGGCCACTTCCCAGAGGGCAGTGGGAGCACACGAGAAGGCAAGGAAGCTTAGGGGAAAGTATTGCTTATACAGAGCTGGTGACTGTGGCAGACCAGAGTCCAGAGCCAAGCTGCCCGTGGAGCCAGGAGGCCGGAGCCCAAGTATGTCTGAGCTCCAGACGGGGACCCTGGTCTGAAAATGAGCAAAAAATAAGAGGCCCCAATGAACAGCTTTGTGCAGCTAATTCCCAAAGTCAGGCAGGATTCTCAACAGTCAGCCTTAGCCCTTATTCTAGCAAACAGCCGGACCCTCAGCACCTCTTACTAAGCCATATGCCCCTAGGGAGGAGCCAGAGAGGGACGGGCCACTCTTGAGGCCTAGCGAAGGCTGTCTGCTTTGCCAGGTGACATTTCCACAGATCTCCTGGGCCCACCAGGAGACCTCCTTTGGCTTGTCAGAGCAGAGGCGACAAAGAAGGGAAAAAGGAGGTGACAAAGGCAAGGGAGTACCTGGCCCTACCTGCTGGGCTATCTGGCCAGTACCCTCGGGAGCTAAGACCTCTGTGTGCTCGTCTGCAGGAAAGAGGTGCGTCTAGCCCAGAGAGAAAACTACCTCAAAGCCCTCTGCTCCCAGGCATCCTCAGCCGCCCCATGGTCCCTGGTCAGGGTGCTGGATGACTGCTACATGCTGCAAGATGTACTCAGTGGGGAGAGCTGCTGGGGCAGCAGGAATAGGGGTGTGGGGGCTCCCAGAGGGGCGTAGTTGTGGCCAGCTGCAGTGGATGCTACATTCCTCAAAAAGAGCAGCAGTGCTGGGAGAGGCAAAGGGTGATACAAAAGACAAGACAGAAAACCAAGCCAAGACCACCAAGAGGAGGCACAGGTGGGGAGCACACAGGCTCTGCCCCAGTCAGGGGACCAGCAAGATCAACCAACCACTGGCCCCATCTCCCACTTCCACTCCTGGAGAGCCCTTGGAGTGAGTTGTGGCCACACAACACTCCTCCTTTCAGTGTGATACAAAGAGACGTGTGGTCGCCAGGACTGACTGTACCCAGAGAAACAGATATAATGTGGATACACACGCACACGCACACGCACACGCACGCAGACTGCAGTCTCCACTGCCAGCTGGGACAAGCCCAGCAGCCCACAGACATGCAGCAGGGTGAAGGGTCCAGAGAGACATGGAGACTATGTACAGGGTGGAGGTGGGGACCAGCACACCCCCTGCCCGTGCCGCCACCCAGCCTCTGGTCCCGAGTGAGTCCTCAGGGGCATGAGGGGCTGGTGGCACTCTCCAGGGAGGACTGGGATAGGCGCCTGGTGAGGGATCCGAGCGTGGAGTCTGCCACAGAGGAGGTGGGGAAGAGTTTGTACCACCCAGTAACGATGGCGCTCAGGTCCAGCTCGTCCAGCATGATCTGGGCCATGCCCATGAAGCACTTGTGGTCCATGCGACCGTAATCTCCCCAGACGATCACCTGGCAGCAGGGGAGGAATAGTTAGGAGCTGAGCTACATCCTCATCTGCCGGGCTGGGCAGTGGGCCCAGGAACCTACAAGTTTTGCCAGGGCACAGATGGAGTAGAGAACGCCAGAGTTCAGACCAATTTTAGGCAACAACTTTCTGAGCACTTAAAGACATGACAGACCTGATCCTGCGCATGTGACGTACGTCACTTCGTTGCTCTAACAAGCCTCATGGATAGGGGTATGGCATGTGACTCTGCTGGGCAACCACAGTTCAGAAGGGCTTACTAACCCAGATACGCAGTCAACTGTGGAATTAGAACCTAGGTGTCCTACTCCAGGCTTCTAGCACCTAGTCAGCTCTGTCCCCAGCAAGGAGCAGACAAAGAGCCCTGTGCCTGGGTTATGGCTCTGCTGCTGGCTCCCTGGTCCTTGCCTAAATCCTTGGCCCTTGCCTAAATCCTTGGCCCTGGCTGGGTCTCACCTATGGCTCTGGTGATTTTCAAAATTCTATTTTTAAACAAGACACCCAACACAGTACTGAGAGCCCTGGGGTTCTGTAGTTCTTTGGGTTGTACATCCGAGGACTTGTCCCAGAACTACCTCAGCCCACAGGAACAGCCTCTTATGGTTTAGATAGGCGTCCTCCCGGGCTCGTGTATGAAAGGTTTAGTCCACAGCATGGGCTCTTGAGAGCTGGCAGGAACCTTTAAGAGGTGGGGCCCGGTGAGGGTCTAAACCAGTGGGGGTGCACCCTCAAAGAGGTCCACGGGCCCTGGTCTCTTCTCTCTGCTTCCCAGCTGTCAAGGTAAGCAGCTTCCTTTCCTGCTGGCTCCTACTCTATGTCCTGCCTCAACATGGCCCAGAAGCAACAGACCAAATTGAGCACAGATTAAAACTTCCCAAACTGCATCAAAATATACCTTTGTTCTTTTTTAGCTGATTATCTCAGGTATTTTGTTGGGGTTTTTTTTTTGGGGGGGGGTTTCAAGACAGGGTCTCACTACATAGTTGAGACTGACCTTGAACTCACTATGTAGCCCAGGCTGGTCTCACAGCGATCCTCCTGCCTCAGCCTCCCAAGTGCTGGGATTACAGGTGTGCGCCACCACGGCCTGTCTCAGGTATTTTGTTACAAGCAGGAAGATAACAGCCCAAATGAAGTCAGGCATCCCAGACCAGCTTGGCTCTCATCTCTTCTCTGCCACTTCTGTGGCCTCAGGCAAAGCCAACAGCCACCACCACCACTGTTAATACTCAGCAAGTGGTGGCCTGTGAGCCAAGCTCTGGATTAGGCCCTCTTCGTGCAACCTCTTGATCCATCTCCGCCACACACCACCCATAGCCAGGGAGGGTCAAGCTGGACTCTGAACCTAGGAATGAGCCCAGAGCCAGATTCACCACCGTGCTGTCTGCCCATGTAAGCGCAGGCTCTTCATCTATGGGAGGGGCATGAGGGACCCTCCCTCACAGGATGGTTGCAAAGACCTGGTGCAAAGTGTAGCCCAGGGCTTGGTCACTTTCAAATGGTTGGGATGACAGTCACCGGGACTTAGGCTCAGTTGTGCTCCACTAGTCACTTGTAAAAAAACTCCAGCCTCAAGCACCCAACAAAAACCTGGCTTGCAGCTGAAGCACAAGGAACATCAGCACCAGGGAGGAGGAGACAGCCAGCAAACAGATCCTGCTCCACCCCTCAGCTGTGCAGCTTGAGGAGCACTTTCACCACCCCCTAAACCCCGGCTCCCTTCTGAATCAACTAGGGGCAAGAGCACCTCATGGGGATGTGAAACTAAACCAGCAATGCAAATTAATGCACTTGGTACAGCGCTTGATGGAGGATGAATCAGAAATGAAAAACTTGTAAACAATGACTCCGGGCTTTGAGCGGCGGCCCTGCCTGACTCACCCTGTAACACTCACCTGCAGTACCTTGCCCTGAGGCCCCTCTTCAAAGAGCAGGGCCTGCTGGTACAGAGGGTCACGGGTCTTCTTGGCCACCTTTGTCTTCTTCTTCGCCAAGCAGGCTCCATTCTCCAGCAGATAAGCCTTGATGTAGGTGGCTGAGGGGTGAGGGAAAGTATGGGAGTCTCCAGTGACACCTGTGACTGCCCCGTCCCAACCTCCAGGTGGCCCTGGAGGCAGGCAGGCGAGCAGAATGATCTGACCGGTGCAGAGGAGGCCAAAGAAGCCAGAACAAACCTTGACCCCTCCGGTCTCCCTCGCCCCCACCTCATTCACTGACCTCCAGGCAAACTGTCACTCTGCTGTCAAGAACACTGATTTAGAGGGAAAAGAAAAAAACATGAGAAAATGAAAAAATGGAAATAAAGTGTTTGTAAATAGGGAAGGGAGGAGGGGGGTGAAAGGAGGGCAGAGGTAAGGGGAAAAAATGAGAACCAAGACCTGTCATGTAAAGGTACAAGATCCCAATGATGAATGTAACTGTACTGTTACCTAAAATGTACCAGTAAACTCAATGAGAGAGAGAGAAAAAAAAAGAATACTGATTTAGGCCAATGAGGAACCAAGGACTTACTTGATCCAGAGCTCAGCTGGATGCCCTCCCTTCCAGGACCCATTTGCAAAATGCCTCTCCCAGCTGCCCAGCCTCACCTGGGAGGGATTTGGAGCCCGGTTTGGGGGTCAGGCCCCGCGCTTCAATCACTTCCACTTCCAGCTGGCCACCCCGGTCCATGATGGCAAGGTGTACATCTCCTGCAGGGGAGAGGAAGAATCCGGGCAGGGCCGAGCAGGGCCAGGCCAGCCAGCCATCCAGAGAACACTAGTTTTTGAAGGGAGCTGACGGGCAGGTCAGAACTGCCTCCAGAGACCACTTTCAAGGAACCCAGAAACACTACGCTAGGTATGGTGGGTGACCCTCAGGGGGCACGCTTAGGTCCCCACTAATGGCTGCAAATTCCCTCCCAAGTCTGGCTGACTGGAGGTTTCTGTTTCACTGAGCAGAACAGGAAGGGCTGCGGAGAGAGCTCCCTAGGTCAGGAAGCTACGGGCTCTGGCTATCTCCCCCTACCCTAGCAGTCCTCGGCCACTTCCCTTAATGTGTCAGACAAATCCTGAAAGAGTATCAGTGCGAAGAGATTGCCAAGTTATTGGCCAGCCAGGGACACAAGGCGCTACGGGGGGGCCTCCTTGAGCCACTGCCAAAGGAGGAAGGGAAGGCTGGCAGGCCCTGGTAGAGAGTAGAGAGCTCACTGTGTTCCGTCAAGTGGATTGCCCAGTCGGGGCAAGGCCTGTGTGTGGAGTTATGTTAGTTGACGTCTGGCACTCTTAGCTTTCTTCATGGATTAGCAGAATGTAGAATTATGTAGTAGTCACTTCAAGGGACTAGAGAAATCTAAGCTTATCTAGAAAACTTAAATGAGCCAGACTTTGGGTTCAGCCACTCACCGTGGATTCCCTAAGCCATGATACAACTGTTCATATTTGCATACTGGGAGGACTAGGTTTTACTATTTCCCAGGAGACATCCTGGAATTCACTCTCCTCCCTCCAGGGTTTCTGACCTTGTCTTGGGAGGGAGGGTTGGTCTCATGGCATTCCTAACCAAATTGTCTTGTCTTTCCCCGTTTTGGACACAAGGGGGCAATACAGGCAAATGTTTGCAAAGCTGCACGGAACTAGAAGTAGCTGGTTCCTCTCACAATTCATAGCTAGGTCTAGGACAGGGAAATGCAGTTTCTCCAGGCCCTTATGAGTCTGAAAGCAAAAGCTAGGAATTAGCCAAATCCAACATAAGGGCCAGATAAGCGTTGACCCTCACTCCCAGAAGGTCCTGGTGTGGATTCTTTCAGAGAAGGCAGGGGAGTGCTGTAAAAAGATCCTGCCCTCGCCTTCCCCCATTGCTGTGTGGGTCAAAGACTGAGCACTGTCTAGATGGGGTTTGAGTGGGGAGACAAGGATCAGACCGGTGGGGAAGGGAGTGGAGGTTGAGAAGGCCCTGCTGGGAAGCCAGCCTGGGGAGGAGCCTCTTAAAGCCAGCACAGCCAACACCTAAGGGAGGGCGCTGAGAGCTCATGAAATGGACCAGACTGCCGCTAAGACGACCAGGTGTAAGCTTTAAGAAGTCTTTTCTAACTACAAGGAAGAGGGATGAGAGCATTACCAAAAGGCTTCTGGGTACCTTTTACTCAAAACTGACTAGTGGCATTTGCACAGCAAGCGGAGGGAGGGCCTGTGCTGTGACAGGTGCTGAGGGCAGAGGGCAGACGGGCCAAAGCCCCCTTGCTCTCTGGTGAGGCAAGGACTGGTGATGCTCTGCGGACTCCTCAATGGCACAAAAGCCCAAGGAAGGGCTCCTGCCTGCCACCTGCACCGGGTACGCTGAGGCCCCCACTGAGCTTACCCTTCCTGCTATGGCCCGGTCACTGTCCTCAGGAAGACTCACCCATGGGGGGCGTTGCCAGTGTCTGTCGCCCCACAATCTGGGCTGGTCCCAGACCATCCAGGAAATCACTGAACTGGCTTTCAGCTCCGAGCCGAGTGGTAGGGAAGATGAACCTGCAGGAGGAGGCAGAAGGCCATGTGAGGGTGTCTGGGCAGCCCTGGGGTGGGGCGTGAGGTACGTGGGCTCTGCCCCTGGGGAACTGAGCACTCACTCTGTGCCTCAGTTGCTCCTCTGTGCAGTGTGAGCACCCTACCCTTGGGACAAATAACCTTTTCTCTATCCATTGAAGAAAAACACTGGTGTTTCCTAAAGACACTAATATAAATCACACAATGATAGTATATAGTCCTCAAGTCCCAGGAATTCTGAAACGACCCTTAAATGGCAGGGCTTGGACACCTTGTATTCTCAACAGAAGATGTAGATGCCAGAACCAGAGACAGACCAGACACTTCAATGCCTGGAGCCAGTTCCAAGAACTGAGGCTTGATTTGATCATAAATTTAAAATCCAAGTCAGTGATGTAAGGTGGTGCCCAAAACAGCAACTGAAACCAAAATAACACAATTACAGGGTTGAGATGAATTGGAAGAGACAGTGGGTGGTCGATGGTTGTGGGGGGCCTGAAAATAGTAAAAGAAAAACTGACAGCGATTTAAAACCGGCCAGGAGCCTACCATGCACTAAATGTTCCATATACATTATGTCATTTAATCCTTACAACCTCAGTGAGTGATTGGGATTACTGCCCAACTTTACAGATGAGAAGACAGAGGCTCTGGGAGGTAAAAGACTTGCTTTACCTGAAAATAGAATACCCAACTCATAGGGTTATGATAGGGTTGGGCAGATGGTGCAGGAAAAGTTCTGGACAAACAGGACCCAACAAATGGTAGTTACTATTGCTGCTCCTGCTGCTGCTGTCACCAAGGGACAAGTGCTGCTTTTTCTTGTCCTCAAGGCTAAATGTCCTAGGTGTGGCCAGCAGAGAAGGAGTAGATGAGGGAGGGTTGTCCCAGGCCTGCTCAGGGGCTACAATGGACCAAAGTGTCAGGCTCTCCTGGGTGGAGAAATAAAAGGCTATCCAGGAAAAATCCCACTAGACACTTTGGCCTCAAGCCCCCATGGGCCAATGACAGGTACAGAGGGGCTGCTTGTCAGAGAGAGCCTGCGTCTTTACCCCACTAGGCTCACCCTCCACTCCCCAGCAAGGGACTTCAAGGCGTCTGCTTTTCTTGATCATGACCAAGAGCCTGGAATCACATTCATGTGACAATGGGATCTGAGAAGGATAAATAAATGTAGACTCTCTGGATCACAGAATTTGGGGAGCTTTACAGCGTGTGAAGGTTGTGAATAAAGGTTATAGTCAAATGACCTTAATGCACATACTGACTACACTTCTATTTAATAACTGACTTTGCACAGGGTTCCTCTCTCTCCTTCCGGGCCTGTTTCCTCACCTGTAGGTAGAGATGATGGTGGTACCCATGTGCTTCAGGTGGCTGCCATTGTGAACCTGGTTCTGGGGCTGATCCCATATAAGAACCATGAATCTGGGTGCCCCTGGATACTTGGCACACAGTAAGGTGTGTGAAATGCTAACGGCTACTTCCATTCATGGAAGAAGGTACAGTTGGGCCTCTGTATCCATGGGTTCTTCATCCATTTGGATTCCACCAAATGCAGATGGAAAATATTAAGGTAAATAAATGCGTCCTTTTTTTTTCTTATCATTATTCTCTAAGCAATAAAGTCTTACAACTATTTCCATGGTACTGAGTGCTATAAGAAATCTAGAGGTGATACGAAGTATATAGGGGGATGTATGCAAATACCAGACCATTTCACATAAGGGACTTGGGCTTCCAGGGACTGTGTGGTGAAGGTAGGTCCACGCCCATCATCTGGGGAGACTGAGGGCCAACTGGATAGCAATGAGAGGCACTATCATTGAATATTAAGTCACGGAGCCCCAGAATCCTGATATTTGATGAAGCAGAAGCAGAGAACCTTCGTTATAAATTATAGTTTCACAGATTTAGGGGCGGTATTGAGGGAACATCTGACCCAGACTTGCAAATTTTTCCTACTATAACCCACAGGTAAGAAAAAAAATGTAATATCCTAGTAGAGCCCTATATGTACTTCTATACATCAAAAAGTGAAACAAAAGTTCACAAGGTCATTTGTCCTTGCCACATAGGATAGACCTGAGTTTTCTTTTTCTAATACTGGTTTTGACACACTATAGCAATTTTCCTTCCTATTATGAGTCACCACCAATAGTTTGAAAGTCACAGATTTAATCCAATTGCTTTCCCTAAACTCCAAGCAAGGCTATTTGTGAAAATCCACTCATCTGAGCCAGGAAAATGGTTTCAGACTTAAAAAGAATTTAGGATCACTTTTTCCTTTTCCTTTCTCCTCTGGGGCAGGGAGGGCAGTGTGTAGGTGGTAGAAGGGGGGCATGGGGTCCCTCCCTGAAGGAATTAAGTGCTCCTGGGCCTCTGAGATGTTCTGATTGTAAGCAACAGAAGACCTGGGGCCCAGACACTGGATGTCTAGGGAAGGGGACATGGGTGGCAGAGTCAGAGAGGAACCCAGACATCTCAACTGGAAACCACATAAGCAGATCTTGCTGCCTTGGCTGGCTGTGTGAGAACGAGGAGGGCAGAGCTGGCCAGGGTGCACGCACGTGCCGTCAGAGCTGTTGCTGTTTGTGCTCCCATCCGTGGATTCCCGGCTGCCCTGGCGCGTCACGCGGCTCCGCATCTCCACGGCAATGCCCGTCTCCGTGCTCCTTCGGATGTTACTCCGCAGCTTCTTGGTGGCCCCTTCTGGGACCCCCAAACCCAAGATGAGAGAGAGAACAAGGTCAGGTCACGGCCAAGGCTTCTCACAGAGTACTGCCGGAGTCACCCTCGCAAGGATAGGCCTAGAGGCAGGAGTGTGGCCTGGCTGAGCTGAGAGCTGGCCTGCAGCCTGACCCTCACCCTGCACAGGGTGCTGACACAGACAAAGCGGATGAGAAAGGCGGCTGGACACAGTCACGATGGTGGAACTGGGGGAGGCTGAAATGACCAGGCTGAGCCCAGCCCTGTACCCCTGGGGCCCTTACCCTCCTTTTACCAGATCCCTTATGGTGCCTTCCCAAGCTACTTCAGCTCTTGCTCCCAAACTTGTGTTCCCAGACTTACCTTTCCCACTTCCAGGTACTCTTGGGACACCATCACACCCAGACCACATAACCCACCCTGATGCCTTGCTAGGCCCTATAGAAATCCATGGGAAACCAGGCCACTCAAACAAACTTGCCTTGTCAAGATGGGTCTGAACAGGGAGAGGGAAGAGTGTGGCAAGCTGCAGAGGCCTCCAGAGAACAAGACCGTGAGAGGGACTGCTAGCTTGGCTTGAAGTGACTCTGGCTGAGAGAAAGGACTGTAGCACCCCGGAGGCTGTGCAGCGTGTGCCGACCCAGTATCTCCGCATCCTGTTTGGGACCCTATCCTGGCCTGGCAAAGAATATGGGGCCCTTTCCCTCTCCTAGCAGCGTGCCATCCGGCCTGAGTTTCCATAGCAACCTCCTTAGCATTGCAGCGTGGTCCCATGAGACAACCCTGGGGGGTGGGGAGGATGGGGGGGTGCGGTTCCCCGGCTGAAGCTCGCCTGGCACCGGAGCTTGTTGGGGAGGAAGTGGTACCCAGTTAGGAACTGTACCAAGGAGCCTTTTGCTGTCACTGGATAGAGGCCCAACCAAATTAAGAGTGGAGTTGCCTACAGGGATAGGGAGAGGGACGGGGGAGAGGCCTGGACTGGGACAGGTGGCACCGCCGCTAGAAACAGTAGGGAGGGGTGTGTGCTTACCTTGGCAATCTCTTCTCCTGCCACACACAATGGTGTGTTGGTGGGGGCCTTTATTCCTCCTCCTGCTTTGCCCTACTTATCTTTCAGAAAGCCTCCACTGGGGGAGAGAAAGCTAGGATCACCAGGAGATGGGATGGCAGAGGGGAGGTGACGGAACAGGGTTGGGTGGGGCAGGTAATAAGAAATGTCTTCTCTAAACAGCTCAGTTTCTGGGGCATTGGAATAGTTACCATATTCAGGAATCAATGAGACCATCAGTATGTCTGTCTGTCTGCCTCTGCCTGTCTGTCTGTCTCTCTCTCTCTCTCTCTCTCTCCCACACACACACACACACACACACACACACACAGTCACTTTTTAGCTTGTGTATATCCCTTCCAGGCATAAGCAGATATGTGTGAGTGCTGGGTCACATATATGAATATAATAATCACATGCAAAGTCATGAGTAAGATTATATAACATCACAGTTGCAAACAGTCCTGCCAGGTCTTTGTCATATGTATACCGGATGTACTCTGTCACATGCATGTGTTTTTTACATCGAAAGACTTGGAATTGAATTCATGTATTCAATCACACTCAGTGAAGCAAGCCTATACATGGTGTGTGACCTGCTGCACACTTGGACAGAGGGATAAAAATGGTGGCTGTAGGAGGACACTCCCTGTCCCTAGCTCCTAACAACCACATCTCCTCCGAGTTAAAAGACAGATGGGCTGTGGGGGCTGCGAGTCACCCTCCCTCCCTTTCACGTCCCTACCACCTCAGTGCACACTCTTAAAGCTTGAGGAAGCTCTGGCCCATTTGGAAGTGAATTTACTTTCTTAGATAAGACTTAGCCAACCCAACACAAGTCTTCAAATGCAGTAGTCACAGAATCCTGAAGAGGTTAAAATACTGCACTAATAATACTGAACCGAGGTTCAGGTGCCAGAAGAACTAGGTCTACCCCCAGTCTGCTGACATGCTACTTCTCTTTCCCCTCCCAATGCCTGTCTAGTTGAGATGTGACTCAGCAGAGATTAAGTTCCATGTGTTCAGGGAGAGGAGAAAAGGTCTTGAAACCAAACAGAAAAGTTCCTTACTAGCTTTATATCTGTCCAGTACCAACCCCTTTGGATCCAGGGAATAACTTTATGTAGCTTCTCTCTAGAGAACCAAGACAAATTGTTTGCAATTAATTTTGTAGTTCCCAGAGATAGAAAGAGTCCAGGAATCATCCATCTGTCCCACCACATACAAGGGAGCAGCAGTCGCAGCTGCACCAACAACCCCATAGAATCTTTTGGAATGGTCTTGATCCCTCTGGCCCAGAGCCTAGAGGATCCTAGAAGGGACTGTTGCTGTCCTCGGTCCTGAAACTGCACGCTGCATTTAGACAGGAGCTGGGTCAACCCAGGATAGGGTCTATGTGTTCATCTGTGTTGATACCAGATCTCTGATTGATCATTGATCTCCTCAATGTTCCCACAGCTTAGAGAATGAAATATCTAGAAGGAAGCGGGAGCCTTTTAGCTCCATTTTATAAGAGGAAACTGAGACCCAGCAGGAAATGACTTTCCAAAGTTCCATGGGGAATTCCAGAGCCAGGAGTGGCCTTCTACAGCATCAGAGTGAGCTCTTGGGAGTCTACTCTAAGGTAAAAGGAACAATAAACTGGAAGGGGCAGGCAGGCAGGGGAACTAAGGCTGGTAACAATGGTCAGGCTAGATATGGGGCCTGAAACAGGACAGGGGCTTTGAAACAAAGAGAGAGGAGCAAGGCTCTAATCAGTGCGGGCTAGAGATAATCTAGGAGAAAGGGGGCTTCTGGGAAGGGCAGAACCACAGCACAGAAGGCTGGGTCCAGGAGAGGAATTCAGCCCTCCAGGAAACTGAACCATCCCATTGGAGACAGCAGGGGGGCAGCAAGGGGCATGCTTCTGGGATCTGTTCCCAGAACGGTGATTCTAGGGCCAATATCCATGGTGAGTCAGCCCCATACATCCCCCTGGTGCCAGACTCTCACCCAGGAGGGGGCTGAAGCTGGGACACTGACATCCTCAGGGCTTGTGAGAAAAAGCAAAACAAAAACATAGAAAAGAATATGGATAGGAAAGGAGTCTGCTATGAGGATGAGGTAGAGGTGTAAAGCCCAGAGGATTCACTTCTCTTTTGGCTGTACTATGTGACCATGTGTAATAACAGCATCAAAACTCTACTGAGGTCGGGCGTGGTGGTGCACGCCTGCAATCCCAGCACTTGGGAGGCTGAGGCAGGAGGATCGCTGTGAGTTCAAGACCAGCCTGGGCTACATAGTGAGTTCCAGGTCAGTCTCGACTACATAGTGAGACCCTGTCTCAAAAAACCAAAACAAACTAACAAACAAACAAAACTCTACTGAGTATCTCCCATGTCCCAGGCACAAGGATGTGTGCCTTTGCATATGCGGCCTCATTTAATCCCCTGGCAACTCTGCAAGGCATGTATTACTGTCCTTATCCTCCAAATAAGGAGCAGGCCCAGGTGATCCTTGCCTAGATCACCCTGCTAGTAAATGACAGAGTGCGGCTTTGAAGGCCATCGTGAGGTCATTCTCCAGGAAAGTGCCTTCTCCCCAGGGTTTAGATACCTGATGGAATGAGTACATTGAACTGGGTGACCTCAAGGGGCCCGTCATGCTCTGACACTTAGCAATTAGATGATTCACAGTGACCTGCAGTCAGAAGTGCCTCTGGGTGATTCCCCCAGCCCCAAGCTCTGGTCCTTTAGCTAAGTGAGACCCTCTCAAAAAACCAAAACAAACTAACAAACAAACAAAACTCTACTGAGTATCTCCCATGTCCCAGGCACAAGGATGTGTGCCTTTGCATATGCGGCCTCATTTAATCCCCTGGCAACTCTGCAAGGCATGTATTACTGTCCTTATCCTCCAAATAAGGAGCAGGCCCAGGTGATCCTTGCCTAGATCACCCTGCTAGTAAATGACAGAGTGCGGCTTTGAAGGCCATCGTGAGGTCATTCTCCAGGAAAGTGCCTTCTCCCCAGGGTTTAGATACCTGATGGAATGAGTACATTGAACTGGGTGACCTCAAGGGGCCCGTCATGCTCTGACACTTAGCAATTAGATGATTCACAGTGACCTGCAGTCAGAAGTGCCTCTGGGTGATTCCCCCAGCCCCAAGCTCTGGTCCTTTAGCTGTGCCCTGACATAATCATGGAGACCGGGAATCCAAAAGACCCATCATCATTCATCTCTTCCTAAGGCAAAAGGTCTTCCTGGCATCTGCTCCCATCTCTCCCTGTGGTGTGAAGACAGGGTAGATCACTGCAGTGTTTTCCAATGACTTAGGACCCTGCCTTGGCCATGGAAGGAGCACCCCTCCTAATGTGGGGTAATAGAAGCCTTCAGGTCTGAAGCCGGATTCCTATGCATGGTCTCTGGGGGCCAAGAGCTCCACAACCTCCTAATCTTAATCCCCTACCTCTATTCCCTCTCTGTCCTATCCCAGCTCTCCTTGTCCGGGCCCAAGTTCTGGACCCCTAATCCTGGTCCTAGGCCTATACCACCCCCCAAGGCACTAATAACCTCAAGCCCCTTCCCCATCTAGCCTCTCCTAGCAGGATGCACATCGCAGCTTAATTGCTGGAAAAGACCATCCTATGTGCTCCTGTTGAGAGCTTTGTAAAAATCTATTTTAAATCCTGGAAAAGTCCCCCACCCAGCCCCAACTGGGAGTCTTGATGAGCTTTCTCCCCGGATCCTCCAGTGCCCCCGCCTCCTCACCACCCCCATCCAGCTGCCTATTTGAAGGTTTCATGGGGAAGTTGTTACTCTGAACAAAATAAGCAGGAAGAGATTTTAAAACAAAACCAGCTGGTGTCTGGGCCTGTGCCACAAAATGAGGGGGTCTTGGTGCGGAAAGCGTGCTCCTCTGTGATGTGGGGGTCCACGTGTGGCTGTGTGTGACAGGGCTGGTCCCCCAGCAGTATGAGTAGAGCTGGGATTTTGCAACTCAATGTCTGAGAAAGTATGTGGTGTAGCTGTTAAGGTTGATGTGAGCACGGCTTTGTCGTGTGTGACCTGCTTGTGATCTCAGTCTGCAAGTCTACTCTCAGAGGATCGTGTGTTTTGGTTTTATTCGTGACCATGAACAGTATGAATGAGAACCACTGTGCTTTCCTGGCAGTGTGAGTGGGCTACCTGGGCAACTAAGCATCTGTTTACACAACTGTATCTTTGTATGTCTATCATGTGACTCTATTATACTTGTGACTAAGTAACTGCATTTGTGTGGCTGTTTGTATTAAGGAGACTCAGAAATGACAGGTGAGAATGAATCTTGTGGACGGGTGTCTGTAAAACTGTGGTGTCACTTAGCATGGTGCCAGGAACACAGGGCTGTTTAATAATAATTACTGTTTATCAAAGACATATTTATAAGTCTGTGTGTGGAGTCAGAGAGTATAAAATACAGAGCCTGAACTAGGAAACCCAACTGCTGGGGCTTGATGCCTGGTTACACCAGTCCTAGCTGTGCAGTCCGGGGCATGTGACTTCCCTTCTCTGTGCTCCAGTGGCTGCCTAGAGCTACCTAAAGTCATATCCTAGACTGGTTACACCAGTCCTAGCAGTGCAGTGCCTTGCAAATGGGAAGCCCTATGAAGAGGGTTTGGACAAGGGAGGGCACATCCGGTTTGGTCCCTGGGTACTCACTGTAAAGGGTTCCCCACCCCTGCCCCTTGGTGCCCCATACCCCTCACCAGGTTGAGGGAGCTGGAGTGTGCTCTTGCTCCACTGGGTCAGGCCCACGATGGCCACCATCTTGGCACCCAGGCTGCTACGTCTCTTCTTGGCAGTGGTGGTCCCGGTCCCAACCCCAGTTTGCTGGGATCCACAGATTTCACCGCTGATGCTGGAGCTCCGAACCACGTTCCTGGAGGCCCCAGCCGAGGCTGGACCCGGCTCCCCGTTAAACATGGTCCCTGGGGCTGCAGGGCCTCAGCCAACTCTGAAGGTGGGTGGGAGACAAAGGGTTGCTACATCAGACCAGTGACCTGACCACAGCCCCACCATCTCCTGACTGTATGATCTTGGGAAAGTCACTTGGCCTCTTCAAGGCTAAGCATTAAATAGACAAATAAATCTCAAGAGGGTGCACAGGGTCTGGCTCAATAAACGAGACTATCCCTGTAAGCATGTGGCCATGAAGAACTGGCAGGTGATCTGGTTTGGTGATGAAGGACCAAGGCTGTGGAGTCAGATGGTCTGGGCTTTGATTCCAAAGGCCCCCACATACTTGCTAGAAGATGCTGTGATCAAACATCTTGGAGTTTCAGTAAACAATTCAACAAAATGAGAAATAAAGGCCCTTTCAGGCATGGTGGCACACGCCTGTAATCCCAGCACTCAGGAGGCTGAGGCAGAAGGATCACTGTGAGTTGGAGACCAGCCTGGGCTACACAGTGAGTTCCAGGGCAGTCTCAACTAAATAGTGAGACCCTGTCTCAAAAACAAAAAGAAAAGAAAAGAAAAAAGCCCTTACCTCTTCAGACTACTACGAGGACTAAATGAGATACGCAGGTAAAGTGCTGAGAACAGTGTCCACACATAGAAAGGCTTTAAGCATGAGTTGCAGATGACTACTGTCATAACAAATAGCAAAACAGGGAGCATAAAACAGCCTCCGGCCTGTGCAGACTGTAGAAGGGGTCCTCCTGGGGGAAAAGGGATGGTCCAGAAAAGCCTAAAGCAGCAGGCAAAAATCACCCTTCACTGCGCTGCTGAGAGGCAGCCACCGTCAGCATTTTAACCCAGTTCCTCTGATCTCCTTTCTGTGCACTCAAAGCAATAATTGGACTCATACTGTAAATGCAATTTTTATATCCTGGTATTTTTCATCTAACATTTTATCATAAGCATTTCCTAATGTCATTAACACTTTGTATAAATGTTGTAATGCCACCGTAATCATCTGTTGTATAGAGATGGTATAATTGGCTTACATATCTCAATAGTTACCTCTTGAATCAGCTCCAACTCTCTTTCTGTTCTCTTTTAAATAAACACTGGTTTGTAGGCTAATATCCCTAGGACTGGCTCCTAGAAATGGGCTGGCTGGGTGGAAGGACGTGGGTACTGCTGGGGCTTCCCGACTGTCCAGCTCCCCTCCTACAGCCTGGCAGAGGACTGGTTTCATCAAGTGCCACCCTGTCCCTTGTTTTGGAGTCACATATCAGAGGTGGGCATGTGACTAAGTCAGCTCAGTTCAGCATAAGATAATGATCTGGATTTCACACTTACAGAAGAAATTGGGGGAGGTCCCCCCTCTCTTCCCCTTCCTTTCTCCAAGACCCCATCCATCACAGGGGACCCAGCCTTAGGGTGTAGCCAGAGAGATAATGTATTTTCTATTGCGTAAGCCTGTTTGAGTCAGAGTTCTCAGTTATAGCCGAAAGCATCCTGCCTGACACTGAGGGTGTAAATTTTTCTTTTTTCTTTTTAATCCTTGGACTGTAGTACCAAATGCTATCCAAAGTACAGAGATTTACTCTCCTCATTAGCTGTGTTCAACAAATATTTAATTTCCTAAAACGCCAAGGCCAACGCTGAATGCCAGGATACAGTATAGTACTGAGCCAAGGAGAAAGGGTACTGCCCTCCCAAGGCCTTCAGTCCAGGAGAGAAGACAGACAGTAAATAACCAATTATACACTTAAATATTTTATGGTGGTTATGATAAGTGCTAGGGAAGAGGAGGGCAGAAGGCACTGAGATCACTCTGCAGGAAGGGACCATAGGCATCCACAGCCCTGTTTTGTGCAAGGACGGGGTCTCTAGGTGTCGGCTTCTATAACTTGGCTGTAAAGCCCAATGCTGCAGTTGGTCTCTTGGCTCAGGCAGAAGACAGGAAAGCCACTGCTCCAGCTGCTCAGCACCTTCCTGGCTCTGTCCCAGCCCTGAGCTCTTTTTCTGGGGCAGCTGTACAAGCCAGGGCTCAGGGCACTTGGTTGGACTTTCTACTTCAGGCCTACCCCATGAGGAAGTCTGACTTTTTCAAAGGACATAGAAAGGAGAGGTGGGCTGGGGATTTAGCTCCTGCCTCGAAAGCTCAAGGACCTGAGTCTGATCCCTAGTACAGGGAAGAAAACAAAAACAAAAACAAAAACAAAAAAACCGGGCAGGGATTATGGGGGTGAAGGGGCCACCACCCTGGCTGCTCAGACAGTTCCCGGACTGCTGAGACGGGTCACCTGGTCTCTCCGCCAACATGGCTCCTGCAGCCTGGCAAATTAAGGCTGACAGGGCAGATGAGTCAGAGCCCTGCTTTACCTTCTCTGTAGCTCTCTAGATAGTTCTCACTCACGCTGTGATGTGATCAGAGCCCTGGATTATATTTCTCCACTCCCCCATCAACCATGCAGCTAATGGAAAGTCCCCCTGGACTTCAGCCTATGATGATGATCTTTTCTCTTGAGTTTCCAATTCTAGTGCCAGTTTGTGTGGGTTTTTGGGTATTTGCATGGTGTTTTGGTGGAAGGTGGGACAGGACTTATCTGATACTGTGAATCTGCCATGGTATCAGTGTCATTTGCTCTTTATAGCACTTTGGGAGGTATGGAGGCATCTTTATAAGGTAGATGAGAAAACAGGCTCGGAGAAGTGTCCCGTTCAAACGGGAAGTGGCAAGACATGAACACAAACACAGTCTCCTGTTTGCTGATGTATATGCTCAGCAGCCACTGCCCCCTCAACTCGAGCTCATCCAAAGACTTATGCCCATCTCTCAAGCTCTGGCTTTGCCTCGGATCCCTGGGCTCTTCAAAAAAAAAGGAAGGAAAAGTGCCTATGAGGAGAAAGTCCACTCACTCTGGTCTAAATTCTCCCAGTTGGCCGAGCAGCTGAGGTGCAGAAGCCCTTGACTCTCAGACCTTAACTGGAGCACAAGGCCTGGGGTGAGAAGGGATGAGGGACAGAATTCCTGACCCTGCCAACCTGGAAGCTCATGTTTCCTCATGAATAACGAATGGAACCAACAAGCACATGGTTTGGTGTCCAGAACGCTGCATTACACAGAGCTATTTTCTAATCTTCAGACACCCAGGGATCACCTAAAGGGACCTGGAGAACTTGGGGGAGCCCAGCCTACAGTCTGTAGGCCACCTCCAGGGTTCAGGAGGAGCCAGACCCACAGCACTAGCCCCTAGGACCTAGGCCCTGGCCTCTGCTCCAGGAGTCCTTATTGGGGAGCCTGGGAGAGGTAGGAATCGTGACATGGGATTAGAATGTGAACAGATTCTTCACAGGCACTTCTCTGGGCCTTGGCTTCTGCATCTGTGTTAACTAAAGGAGTCAGAGTAGGTCCTTTGGGAAAGTCCTTTAGACTGAGAAGGCTGAGTCTGTGACTGTGTGCTCGAGTGGGGTGGGAGGGGACTCAGATCTGGGGCTCCAGCTGCTTACCTGGCAGCCAGTCTAGCTCAGGAAGGCCAAGGCAGAGATCTAGGCAGAGATGGCTACCCTGCCCCTGTAAGGATAGCTGCATAGCAACTCCTGAACCATCAGATCACAGGGGTGGGGAAGGAGAAGTGGCAGAGATGGGGGCAGACTGCTCACAAACCCCAAGAGGACCCACAATAAAGCATGACTCATACCAGTGGTTCTAAACGACTGGTAAGTGAACCAAGTCTTTTCCATGAAAATCAACTCAACAATTCCCCTGCTTCTGAGCAAGACTACCCTTCTCCCGGCCTAGTTCATGGCACCTAGAGCAGAGAACCTTCTTACCATCTCATCAAGTCACAGGAGCTCACTCTGAAGTCCTTCCTGCTGACTCTCATCTGCTACTTCAGCAGCCGAAGCCCCTGCCTCTTATTTTTCCTCCAGGGAACAGCAAATACTGCCTCTTTCCTGCCAGAATTCCAGAGATACCACCCAAGCTTCCCAGGAATAAGCCTTGTGTTTTCTTTTCTTTTTTTTTTTGAGATGGGGTCTCACTATGTAGTCAAGACTGACCTGGAACTCATTCTGTAGCCCAGGCTGGTCTCAAAATCACAGCAATCCTCCTGCCTCAGCAGGCCTGCGCCACCATGCCTGGCTCTAAACCTCGTGTTTTCTTTCCAGCCCTCAACATTCGGCCTCTTTGGGGGCGGGGGGTGGGTATTTCTGCCCTCAGGGCTCTCCAAACTTCTCCCAAATCCTGACAGCAGCAGGCCCCAGGACCTGCTAGGGGCTCTGGGTCCCTATATTCTGCTGACCTTGTGTTTAACAAGCTAATGAACCTTTTTTGATGGTCAATGAAGAACCCAAAAGCCTAAGATGAACCCCGTCACTCACACTTCCAACAGGAAAATCCAAGGAATCTATCACAGGTTGTTGGACTATTAGGAAAGAAGGGGCTGTGAATAATTGAAGCTCCGACCTCTCTACCCATCCTCTACCCACAGCAGACATCACTAATTCATCTCTTTCCCCAGAGGACAGATTTAAACCTCAGAATCCCTCTAATCACAGCGCTCTGAAACCAGCTGATGAGAACCAGCTCATGAGCTAAAACTGACTTGCCATCCAACCCTATTCCAGCCTGGACTCTTTATCCCACCCAGAAGGAAATCAGGGCCTAGAATAGGGAAGAGACATTTCCAAGACCACACAGACTCCTGGGAGCAAAACCAGAGTTCCAACCTGAGACCCCTAACCCCCAGGTCCCACTTCACCTGATAAGACCTGTTAGTCCTCCCTCCCCACCCCTCACCTGAAAGCAAACCCAAACTCACCACACTGATGAATCTGACTGTAGAGTTCCGCATCACAGGGGCTGTGCCCCTTCCAACAGCACCCCGCTAGGGCATCTGCACAAGGCCGAGACAGCAGACTCCAGAAAGGAGGGGAAGGCAATCAAGACGGCTCTCAGGAGGAGGTGATGTGACCAAAAGATCTGGAAGGGAAGAGCTGAGCTCAGAGGAAGGGCTAATGAAGAGGTGTGTCCTCAAGGGCTTCCGGTAGCTTGTGGGGTAAAAAGACAAAGTAACTGTGGGACCTCGAGCAAATCATTTCAGCTTGTTAAACCAACTGACCGACCAAATTGAACTCCTGGGACCCTTAATCTGGCTTTAGGCCCTTTAATGTCAAACTGCTGAAGTCTTATAAGTACAGTTTTTAGGGCTGGGTATGTAGCTCAGTGATAGAGCCCGCGCCTAATATGCATGAGGCCCCTGGGTGATTGCCAGCACAGAGGAGGCAGAGAGACAGACAGACAGAGACAGAGATTTGACAAGGAGCTCTGTGCCCTGTTCTTTCTTCCTCCAACTTCTGACGATGGGTTCTGGGTCCTTCTCTAGACAGTGACATGCCGGAAGTCAGAATGGGAGGAACTCGTGGCTCTACCCCTAGCCATCTGACCCTGAAAAAGTCAGTCAGCTTCTCTGACCCTTCATTTCCTCTAGGATGAACCTAATCGCCACTTGGACTCTGCCCAATCCTCCTGGCTGGACCAGTGATCAGACAAACCAATGAGGAGCAGGAGAACAGAGTGAGAAAAACACGTGCTCTGGGGGCAGGCAGACAGACTAAGGTGCAAATCTAGATCTGCCTGTCGCAAGCCAGTGACGGAGCTTCTTCCATATCAAACCCTGTGAGCTTACATTCATCAAGTGGGGATGACAACCTGTGCTTCCGGAGACATTTTAGATAAAATATTATAGAATGAAGATTGCTAAGTGCTTAATGAGCAATTGGTCAATTACCCAGTTATTACTCATAATGGTGCCTTGCACGTGGTAAACAATTGTTCGGGTGCTAGTTCCAATTCACCAGGTGCATCCACCTCAGGGGTGTCCCAGAAGTTACAGGATTACCTCCCACTGTGGGCCTGGGTACCCCAAGATGAGTGTGGATCAGGGTTCCTATACCTCTTTGCTGATGTGGAAGGGGCGCGGGAAGCTATGCCAGCTTCAGGTCCTAAGCCTTTACAGCATGCTGGGTCTGGCATTTGAGGTCGCTGCCCCCACTCTGATCTAGCACTGGGACCTGCCCACCACACCACCCTGTGCCAATCTGGGTTCGCATGAGAGGCCAGTTCCTGCATCCACAGAAGGGGAAGGGGGACCCTGGGCTCTAGCCTTTCCTTTCCCCACTTAGGGAGAGGTGGGCAGGTGACAGGAGGTGGGTATGTGGTAAGGGAAGCAGGCAAGACAAGAAAACACAGCCGACCAGGGTGGGGAGCACATACTAGATTCTCTCCTTGCTGTGCAGACCTCTGTCTCCCCAGACCATCTTAAACACACACACATTGAGCTGAATTTCAAATAATGTGATCACACAAAATATGCATCCTCACAGATGATACACACAATCATCACGTGTGCTCACAGATACGCACATGTGCCCCCAAATACTCATCCACACAAAGGCACAAAAAGCAGCCACATAAACAGTCAAGACAGCCACAGACATCAGGTTCATATTGGTGCACACACTGGCACATACTCACACCCCCCGTTCCCTCCTCTTGGCCCGTGCCCAGCCAGAGAGGCAAGAAGAGCCCCATCACCACAGTGGCCAGGGAAGTGGGAAGCATCTTACCCCGAGCCATGATCTCTGAAGGCTGAGGCTAACACCAGCTCGGAGCAGGCGCTTGTGAGCTTGAACACAAACACACTCATGTACGATCCAGCTCCCATTCCCACCCTCCTGGCCCCCATCCCTGCCAGACCAGACAAAGAAGCGCATCGGGGAGGTTTGTGGTGAGGAGATGAGAAAGCTGGCAGGGAGCAGCTGCTGTCACCATGGCTACCAGCTGACCCACTTCTCCTCCACCTAGGCAGGCCCACCCGGCCCAGGCAAGGTGGGGATGGGCGGCTTTGGGCAGGGTGGGCCCTCTGCCCCGATGTACAAGGGAGGATGTCTGAGGGTGTGGTGAGGGATGACTGAGCACCAGCGAGGCTGGATCCCAGGCATTATAGACTCAGACATCCCTTGAGGGGAGCAGGTACTGAAGACATGGCCCATGCAAGACCTAACTTCTCCCAGCATCCGGGCCTCTGGCCACATGGGACTGGATCCATCCTCATGCAGCGCTGATGTGGGGTGGTCAGCTCTGTCTCCAGGACTCAGCACACTCAAGGATGAGGCAGGCCAGGGCTGGATGAGCCTTGTCTCTGGTTTGGAGGAAGGTTCTATCCCCCACCTCCAACAGGGGACGGCTAGGGCTGTGCTTCCTTCTCTGGGCAGAGCTCTCCTGTGCCTTCACGTAGCCAGGGGTTTCCCAAGAACATGGTTAAGTGTCACCCTTTGAACCAAGGACTTAGAGGAACAACACAGCTGTCAGAGTCCTCCGTCTTGGGAGGATACATCCTACAAAGCACGATGAATTGCTTGTTCTTGACACTGTAAGAGCTCCCTATTTCCTTCAGAACAAAGGAGAAGCCTCTTACCAAGGCCCTGAGCCCATATAAACCAGTTCCTGACTTGTCCTCCCAGGTCCTTCCTCTTTTTCCTACTCTGTACTATGGCTACACTGCCTTCTTTTCCTTCCTAGAAAGTGCCCCTTTGTCTTTTGTCTGCTTGGAATGCTTTTATCCATCCTGCCCCCACCCCCAGGCTCTATGGACAATACTTGCCTGTCTCTTTACCCTGCCTGGCTAATCCCTACTCTTCACTCAGTCCCAGTTTGAAGGTTATTTCTTCCCAGGCAAGATTAGGCCCCTGTCATGCTCCTCTAAAGCTATATACAGTCCTTGTGTGATACCTGCTCCCAACAGAATGCTGAGATCCTACCCCCTCATACCCAAAATGTGGCCTTGTTTGAAAACAGGGTCGTTAAACATGTAACTGATTGAGATTACACTGGAGTAGGGTTCATCCCTCATTCAACTAGTGTCCTTCAGGAAGGTGGCCATGAAACGGGAGAAAGTCATGTGACAAAAGAGGCAGAGATTGGAGCCATGCAGCAACAAGCCAAGAGATGTCAAGGATGGCCAGCTCCCACCAGAAGCCAGGGGAGTGGCACAGAGCAGATTCTCCCTCACAGCCTCCAGAAAGAAACAACCCTGCAGATACCTTGATGTCGGACTTCCAGCTTCCAGAACTGTGAGGGAATAAATTTCTGTCATTTTAAGCCATCCAGTTCATAGTACTTTGTTATGGCAGCTCTGGGATATAGAAACACTATTGTTCTAACTTGCTCAGTGCCTGTCTCCCACACTCCATCCCCTGCCCGTGAGCTGCTCAAAAATAGGAACAGTGTGCAAGCGCAAGGGCCAGAGTTCTATCCCGAGTACCAAAAAAAAAAAAAAAAGGATCTGTGTTGTCTGCACCCCAAATCCCTGGTACCCAGCATTGGAGTAGGGCTACTGCAGGGCTCCGTAGATATTGGTTGAATGAATGGCAATCAAAAACATTAAGTTAACAGTGTTTGTAGGTGGAGAGAATTATGAGTCATTTTTATTTTCTTCATGACATATTGTGTTTTCTAAAGTTAATACTTTAGAAAGTATATTAATGTCAATGAAAAAAACAGCAATATTTTTCTTTTCGAAACATACACTAAAATAACAGACCTTACCACCAGTGTGTGTTCATGAACAGGGAAAAGTTCTCTGCTACATGCTTAATAACTGCTTTTTATTGAATAATTGATTTCTCCTGATGTTACTAGAGTGCTTTCCGGAGCCAGACTTGCACAGCTTGAGCTCTGGGGCCTCTCAGGGTATGGATGGCAGGTGGGAAGGGTCCAGGCAGGACAGGACACACCTGCTTCTTGGCCATCTCCACCATTCAGCCCCTTCCCCTGCTCAGTGGATCTGCCCAGATGTGGCTCCAGAGAAGACCACCCAGTCTGACCAAAAGCCATACCCAAACAGAAGCAAACACCTGCCCTCAGTGAACACCCTGTCCAGTGCTGCTTGAACTAGAATGTGCACACAAATCACAGGGTCTCGTTGAAATGCGGCTCTCAATTGCAAGGGTCACAGGTGGATTCTGAGGTCCTGTACTTTTCACAAGCTCTCGGTGATGCCCATGCTGCTAGTCCATGGGCCACCCAAGGCACTGAGAAGCAAAGAGAAAAATACTTTGGTCGTTCCGTGGAGGGAGTGAACACTTCAGCATGGGAAAGACCAAAGAAGGTGTCAGGGGAGTGTGCCACAGAGCACCTCAGAAGATACGTGGGGCTTGGAGAGGCAGAAGTGGCTCTACAGGAAAGCAGTGGAGCCACTGGGAAGGCGCAGTCAGAACGGCAGGAAAAGATAACTGTGCGAGAGGGGACTGGAAAGGGAGGCTGGAAGCACCCAATGAAGAGCTCTGAATGTGCAGCAAAGAAGTGTGGCTTTAATCCTGTAGGAGTGAAATGTGACAAGATTTAGATGTAACGTTTTATAGAGATCGATCTAACACCAAGTGCAGAATCAGAAGAGAGCTGACAGCAGGAAGAGCACCTAGGAGGCTGCTAGGTCTGTACAGGTAGGAGGGTCTGCACTGCTTCTGCTCTGACTGTGTGAAGGGGAAAGGGTGGCCAGGCATCCAGGTGGGATTAGCGGATTGCCTAGAGCTGGGCAAAGCTGGGGAGAGGGGGGAAAATAGAGTCCATCCTTACAAGAAGGATGGAGCTATGAAGTTTCGATGGCAGAGCCTGACGTCCCAGAGGATAAACCTTGCTTGAGGGAAGACGATCCCCATCTTAGTGACAAGTCCAAGACAGCACTGCAGCTTCTGCAAGGAGGTGTAGGGCAGGTGAGCAGATCCACTGAGCTCAGGAGACCTAGGTGAGTGGGGAGGCATTGAGTGTGTTCCCAGAGGGAAAAGTGGGGTGTAGAAAGGAGGGAGAATACCCAGAGGGGAGGACAGACGAGGAAAGGGCAGGAGAGTACCCCAAATGAGAGGCAGGAGGAACACAGAATCCATGGACAGAGGCACAATGGAAGGTTCAGCAGAGGAGAACTCAGGGCCGTGAGCATCCAGATGGCCCTTCTGTGGCGACCAAGGAGGGCCCTGCTCTGGATGAAGGAAACTGAGCTAGCACTCTGCTCTGGGGGTGAGAGAAGCCCAGGACTGAGGAGCACAGGTGAATGGAAAGCAGCAATCAGGCTGATGAAGGGCTGGATCCCCGGTGGAAGGTCTGGGTTGTAGCAGGATCCCAGGTGCTGTGGGTCTCGAAAGCTCTTTTTTCAGCTCAGCCTTAGCACGGGAAGGGTAATTTCCCACCCTCAGGCAAAGTACATCACCTGGCTGCAGAAGCTCCAGGGCAGGGCAGAGCAGAGGTTAGGGAAGAGAGAATTCTTTGAGGCAAATCCCTATTGCTGGCAAGCATATAATTTATCATCCAAATGGAACCCTTGAGAGTGAGCACAGACCCTGCTAACAATCACACCAGGACCACAGGCACAGGTGTAAATTAGGACTGCCTTGGGCAAACCTGGCTAATGGCCACTCTGTCCCTGGGGGATTTTGGGTCTTTAGAAAATACTCATTTAGTTCTTGCTGCCCCTTCCTAGATGGGGTGGGTGAACTCACAGCCTGGCAAATTCATCCCAAGAGCAGGGCCCCGCGGAAGAGGTGGTGGGTGGGGCAATCGCTCCCTCTCCAAGCCGGCCCTGCCTGAGCAGACGCCCCTGCTAGGACAGAGGCGGCAGCACCAAGGACAGAGGTTCCCTCCCTTCCCGCCCCTCCCCTGGCCCAGCCGCCAGCCCGCGAGGACAATCAATATTTCATAGGAGGAGGGGGCTCCGGTTACCAGCTCCGCGCCAAGCCTAAAGGCGCCGCTTTGCCCGCTGCCCGCCCTGGGGGACCCTTGCGAACCGCGCCCCAGCCCAGGAATAGATAAAGTCCCCAGGGCCTCACCTCCCTACACCCCTCAGCCCCCAGGCCCCTACAAAGCAGGCCACACACTCATTCACTATCCAGACACACCATAGAACAGACACACTCTGTACAAAGCAGCCACGTACACAAAACAGCAGGCACACACCACACCCAGCTCGAAAAGCCACCTAGACAGAGCATATATACACACAGAAACACACGAGGTAGTCGTCACACATATATTACACAGACCACACAGACATGAGGCCCCTACCACACACACACACACACAAACTCACATGCTGCACAAAAACGCCCTCCCAAGGAACCTCAGAGGATCCATTTGCCATAAGCATGCTAAATAGATGCACATGTGTGCACACACGCACGCACACAGTCCCTGCATAGAGACTCCATGCACCATGGACATAAAAACACACTCCCTACTCTGGTCAGGGCCCCACCCCTCACTGTGAATGTGAGCCTCGGAAGAGGCAGACAGGCCTCCTTCCCTCTAATCTACTTGCTCTGCTCTGGCCCTGGTCTTGGGCCCTGTGGAGAAATCCATGGGCCCTGGGATGTGCTGTCTAATCCCAGGGGCAGGGAGTCTGTAGCACAAAGAGGTGGGTAAAGGCAGGAGCATATGAACAGGGGACTTTGAGAGTCCAAAGCCTCTTGAATTTATGGTCTCCAGGTCCCAGCTCTGGGGCATGCAGTGCCAGGGAAAGTTTCACCCTCAGTGGTGGCTCCCACAGCCTCACTGCCTCTCTAGGAAGCCCTGAACCTGCACTGTACATGAGGACCAGAAAAAATGTGGGGTGTGCAGCGCCTGTTCCCCAAGGAGGGCTCCAGCCCTGGCCTCAGAGATGAGAGGGTGCCCTATC